TTTGTTCAGTTGGATTGGGTTTGGTTTGACCTGAAGCAGACTGAAGTGAAGCGTTTATCTGTGTTCACCTCTCCCAGTTTCCCTCGCGTCTCTCCTTTACGCTGATCCCATCGCGGAGGCTAATGAAAGCAGACAATCCCAATGTAATATAAGTCTCCCAGAATGTGTCTGTGAAGTTTCAGCTCAAAATACTCCACAGATCATTTATTATATCATTTTGAAAATGCATATTTTGAGTGGAAGCAGAAACACACTGTTTTTGTGTCTGTGTCTTTAAATGCAAATGAGCTGCTGCTCCCCGCCCCCTTTTCCAGAATAGAGCTGCGCCTTTACAGCTCAGACCTGCTAAAAACATCTGTTTTGGTTCTGATTATCATGTTTATGGCGCTGAAATCATGCGTTTTAAACCATATGAGTGTAAACTTCTGATATAGGGTTTTCTGAGCGCACACATCTGAAGCACACGCACAGAAAGCGGCTGTCGCAGCATGCGAGTACTAAACTAAGCTCTCATTCACACACAAGTTAAATACACACGAGTTACAAAAACAGTGGGTTATGTCTGTGAAGGTAAACTGCTGGGAAATAAATCACATGTTTATTTTAGATCTGTGTGGCAGCAGCAATATACAGTAAATACATCAATAAATGCACTGCTGTCGTCTCCTCTGAGGCTGGGACTCTAAACAGTGTTCTGTGCTCATCTGTGCAGCCAAACACTGAACAGTTAGCATGCTAACTTTCTCCATGGCATTAGAACTAGTACACTGTTGCAGCTTGTGAAAACACAATAACGGCGCCGTGGGTGTAAACTTACAGATTAAGGGGCGGTGATATTATAATGAGATCCCTTTGTCACGTCACCAAGAGAGCGAAATCAGACGCGCTGGTTTTCTCAGACGCTTGCAGAAAAAGGCTTCCCAAAACTAAGTTACTGGGTTAATCTTTTTCAGGTTTCCTTGGTTGGTAGATGCAGCGCAGACCTGATTATAGCACTTACAACCTGGAAAAGTCAGATTCTCATGATATGTCACCTTTAAGAAAGTTTAGTTTAATAAATTTTTTTGCGGTGTGGTAGATGTTTCGATGTTTTTACCGCAGTGTGTCATGAAATTAATGGGGTCTTGGTCGAGGTCAGGTATTTAGTTATTCAGTAGTAGTCGAGCGAGAGGCATTAAATGGCGTGTGTGTGGAGTCACATTAGTGTCATAATTCATGCTGCTGTTTACAGCGCACAGCTCTGATGTCCGCCGGTCGATGCTTACGACGGCTGTGGTTTCCAGACGTTTTACAGTGACCCGACGTCTCTCACAGCCTGACCTGCTCCAGAAATCATGACATTATATAATAAATAAACAGAGATTTTATATCAGCTAACAGGGAAGGTTCTGGCAAGTTATGAGCAAACGTTCGTCCAGTAACGTTTAATAATGTTCTCAAAACCTTAGTGGAAACATTTTATTCCGAGAACATTCAAAAGTAACGTTCCCATAATTTTTGCAAAACATGGCAACATTAACGTTCACATAACCAAGAAAAAAATGTATTTGAAACATTTAAAACTTTGAACGTTCATGGGAACGTTAGCAAAATGTTATTTCTTCGTCCCGTTTGCATCATTAAGAAAAAAATGTTTTTAAAACATTTAAAAATCAGGATGTTTTGAACATTCAGAAATAATGTTTCCATATCTTATCGGGAACGTTTGTAAAACGTTTTTATTCCTGTTAGCTGCATGGGGAATTATCTGTTCTTTAATCAAACATTATTGATACATTGTTCTGAAACGTTTCAGTGGGACGTTCCTTTAGATGTTACTACTTCAGAGAACATTCAAAAGTAACATCCGCATAACCAAGAAAAAACGTTTCTAAAACATTACACTCTCAGAAAAAAAGGTACAAAAGCTGTCACTGGGGCGGTACCTTTTCAGAACGTACACTTTTGTACCTTTTAGGTACTAACATGTACACTTTAGGTACTAACATGTACACTTTAGGTGCTAACATGTACACTTTAGGTGCTAACATGTCCACTTTAGGTGCTAACATGTACACTTTAGGTGCTAACATGTACACTTTAGGAACTAACATGTACACTTTAGGTACTAACATGTCCACTTTAGGTGCTAACATGTCCACTTTAGGTGCTAACATGTACACTTTAGGTGCTAATATGTCCACTTTAGGTACTAACATGTACACTTTAGGTACTAACATGTACACTTTAGGTACTAACATGTACACTTCAGGTACTAATATGTACACTTCAGGTACTAATATGTACACTTTAGGTACTAACATGTACATGTACACTTTGGGTACTAACATGTACACTTTAGGTACTAATATGTACACTTTAGGTACTAACATGTACATGTACACTTTAGGTGCTAACATGTACACTATAGGTACTAACATGTACACTTTATGTACTCATTTGGTACACTTTAGGTACTAACATGTACATGTACACTTTGGGTACTAACATGTACGCTTTAGGTGCTAACATGTACACTTTAGGTACTAACATGTACACTTTAGGTACTAATATGTACACTTTAGGTGCTAACATGTACACCTTAGGTACTAACATGCACACTTTAGGTACTAACATGTACACTTTAACATGTACACTTTAGGTGCTGACATGTACACTTTAGGTGCTGACATGTCCACTTTAGGTACTAACATGCACACTTTAGGTACTAACATGTACACTTTAGGTACTAATATGTACACTTTAGGTGCTAACATGTACACTTTAGGTACTAACATGTACACTTTAGGTACTAACATGCACTTTTAAGGTGCCAATATGAACTCTTTAGGTACAAAGGTTTGCCTTTTGAACGTGGTTGCCGCCCCAGTGACAGCTTTTGTACCTTTTTTTCTGAGAGTGTTAAAAAACTGCGCATTCAGAGAACATTTAAAAGTAATGTTATTTTATAAAATGAACTATAAATAACTTTCAGGCTAGGCTTTCTCAAGCAAACCTTAAAAACCCTAAAGTTATTTTATTTATTTATTTAAGGTTAATATTATGTTTTTTACTATTTTGTTTTATGTTTTGTTTTAGACCCTATTATTTATTTATTTGTGTAATTATTGGTTCAAAAAAGTGAAATGTTTTTAAACTCTTTTTCTTGGTTGTTCAAACGTTACATGAACATTCCATTTGATGGGAACGTTACTTTTAAATGTTCTCTGAACGTTCTGAAACAAGTTTAACAATTGTTTACATTTTTTAAAATGTTACGTCTGGCTAAAATGGTTCAGTGAATGATTTTGTGAACGTTCTTAACAAACCCACACAAAATAACCCAGTCATCTTAGTAACACCCAAAAGTCATTATTTACTCACTCTCACGTCATCACAAACCTGTGGGACTTTTTGAAACACAAACGGAGATGTTTCGCACAATGTTCACGCTGCTCTTTTACACATAATGCGAGTGAAGGAGGTGGACGCGGTCAAGCTCCTAAAAGGAGAAAAAACACCAGCAAATGACATTATATACACAAACATGACATTCTAGCTGATCTTTGTTTCTGATAAAACACACACGCTGAACGCATTATCACAGAACGCAAGTCACAGTAAATATAAGCACCCGTGTAAGTTCATCTCGAGGTCCTCAGATGATCACAGATGTCAGGACTAATCCGGAGATTGTGAGAAAATACAATAATCATCCAGAGAAAAGAATCTGACGGCATCACAAAAGAGTGAGCTTCAGAAACGCTCGCTCGCGGTCCTTTGTGTTCCTGTCGATCTCTTCCGTCCAGCGGCTCACTGTTACGTGTGTGAACACTAGAGGACTTTCCATCAGGACAAATAATAGGGTCTAAAACCAAACAAAATTAAATAAGATCAAATAAATTTTTTTTTAAATAAAATAGTAACAAAATGTGTATATAAAAATAATAGGATCTAAAATAAAAATAATAAATATTAAATAAATAAATGTAAAAAAAATAAAGGGACTAAAACAAACAAAATAAAATAATAGTAACAAAATAATTAAATAATCAAATAAATAAATAATACGGTCTAAATAAAAAAAAACTAAAAAGTAAAATAGTAACAAAAAATTTATATATATAAAATAATAGGATCTAAAATAAAAATAATAAATATTAAATAAATAAATGTAAAAAAAATAAAGGGACTAAAACAAACAAAATAAAATAATAGTAACAAAATAATTAAATAATCAAATAAATAAATAATACGGTCTAAATAAAAAAAAACTAAAAAGTAAAATAGTAACAAAAAATTTATATATAAAAATAATAGGATCTAAAATAAAAATTAAACAAAATTTAAAAAAAAAAAAAAAATGGATAAAATAAAATTGTAACAAAAAATTACATATAATTAATAATATGATCTAAAACAAAAATATAAAACAAAAAATAAAAACATTAAATTGCACTAAATAAATAAATGTAAAAAATAAATAAAGGGTCTAAAACAAAACGAAATAAGAAATAAAATAATATCAATAAACAGCTAAATAAATAAAAAACGCTTAAATTTACATAAAATCTATGTAAAATTTTAAAATAATTTTTTAAATACATTTTTTAAAACAGTTTAAAATAAAAAAAACATAAAATAACTAAATATATGACAGATAATGGAGTCTAAAATAAATAAATAAATAAAGCATTCACATTTCACAAAAACATAATTCAGACATCATTCTGCTGAAAAATCCCACACTGCACTGCTTTCCATAAAGACACGGATCTCACGGGGAACTTAAAATGTTGTTTGTGATCCTTTCACCAGACCGAGGATTAATTCCTCGTGGTTTAAATACAGATTTCATGTATTATAGAAAGCATATGTTCACATTAAAGGGCCAGCGGTGAACATCTCGTGTGTTAACCCCGTCTGGGACTGTTTCTGCTGATATGAAGTACCGTCCTGCCAGCTTGGGTTAATCTATTCACTCACATAGAAAGCCCGTGAAGAGATAGAAGCCACCAGATTAAGACAATCATGGTTTATTATGAGCGTATGCATCATTTACACAGATCAAGTCTTCTTTGATATGACTGCATTCAGTATAACGATACATGAGCAATCTTATTAGAATGTTCATCAGTTTCCCCATCATCCCTCTGTGCACCTGATGAAGCGCATGTTTTGCTGGATCCATCAGCTCAATCGTGGTTGATAACGAGAAGGTCTAATGAGCGTCTCAAACCAGCGCTGTGCCTGTAGATCCTGGGATTTCTCGGAGAGAGGCTCTGCTCTGAAAGACTCGTGAGGGACACCGTAGATGAGCATCTGTGTGTGTGCCTGAAACAGTTAAACACACGATTACAATAAACTCTCACAATAACTAGCTCAACCATATTTTTAATAATTTAACAGCACACTTGGAGACGCACAGCTCTCTGACGTTGGTTAATGGTTGCATGACACGCTGGTAAGCAAATAAAACATTAACATTTGTTTTTATTATTTTAATGGTTCATTTTTAATGTAATTATTTACATTTTTAGCAAGTGTTTATATTTTACTTATTTTATTTAAAAAATGTAAATTCATATTTACATTTTAGCAAGTGTTTATTTTGATTTTATTCATTTTAATTGTAATTTTTAAAATATAATTAATATATACATTTTTAGCAAGTGTTCATTTTGTTTTAATTTATTTTAATTTTACATTTTTATATAATTAATATTTACATTTTTAGCGAGTTTTATTTTAATTTTAATTTGACTTTTTATTTAATTAATATTTACATTTTAGCAAGTGTTTATTTTGATTTTATTCATTTTAATTGTAATTTTTAAAATATAATTAATATATACATTTTTAGCAAGTGTTCATTTTGATTTTATTTATTTTAATTGTACATTTTTTATATAATTAATATTTTCATTTTTAGCGAGTTTTATTTTTATTTTTATTTGACTTTTTATTTAATTAATATTTACATTTTAGCAAGTGTTTATTTTGATTTTATTCATTTTAATTGTACATTTTTATATAATTAATATTTACATTTTTAGCGAGTTTTATTTTTATTTTAATTTGACTTTTTATTTAATTCATATTTACATTTTAGCAAGTGTTTATTTTGATTTTATTCATTTTAATTGTAATTTTTAAAATATAATTAATATATACATTTTTAGCAAGTGTTTATATTTTACTTATTTTATTTAAAAAATGTAAATTCATATTTACATTTTAGCAAGTGTTTATTTTGATTTTATTCATTTTAATTGTAATTTTTAAAATATAATTAATATATACATTTTTAGCAAGTGTTCATTTTGTTTTAATTTATTTTAATTTTACATTTTTATATAATTAATATTTACATTTTTAGCGAGTTTTATTTTAATTTTAATTTGACTTTTTATTTAATTCATATTTACATTTTTAGCAAGTGTTCATTTTGTTTTAATTTATTTTAATTTTACATTTTTATATAATTAATATTTACATTTTTAGCGAGTTTTATTTTAATTTTAATTTGACTTTTTATTTAATTAATATTTACATTTTTAGCGAGTTTTATTTTAATTTTAATTTGACTTTTTATTTAATTCATATTTACATTTTTAGCAAGTGTTTATTTTGATTTTATTCATTTTAATTGTAATTTTTTTAATATAATTAATATATACATTTTTAGCAAGTGTTTATTTTGATTTTATTTATTTTAATTGTACATTTTTATATAATTAATATTTACATTTTTAGCGAGTTTTATTTTTATTTTTATTTGACTTTTTATTTAATTCATATTTACATTTTTAGCAAGTGTTTATTTTGTTTTAATTTATTTTAATTTTACATTTTTTACATCGTATTTCAGGCAGAAAATGTGACAAAGACGGTGATACATTCTGTCAGCAAGATAAACACGCTGCTGATTCCAGAATAAGTTTCAAACCTCTGTTTGTGATGATGATGATGATGATGATGATGATGATGATGATGATGAAGGCCGGCTCACCTGGATCAGGTTTCCAGCGGTCACCAGAGCTGATCCCGGTCTGAGGAGATCTGTGCCAAGCGAAGCATGGGAAATGAAAGCAGGAAACGGTATTAGTTTAGTGTTTCATGCAGAAAAGAAAGATGAAGGGGTTTTGAGGTTGATATGGTTTATTTTGAATCGATGAAGACCACCGCTACGCCGGCCAATCAGGAGAGCCTGCGGATATTTAGGATCAATAATTAGGCTCCAGACAGGTTTGGCGAAGCCGTTTAAATAATTGATGGAAGTTGAACGAGCTCGAGTCGTACAGTCGTCATAACCAGCAGCAGAAGGACATTTGCATTGGGTTTCTATTAAAAGCTTCTAATTAAAGCGCTGGTGATGTTCAAGGGTGTTGCGGTGACACACTAGTCATTAATGGGGCTAAAAGCTTCATCTGCTGGTAACAAATGATCCCAGAGACAGATGGATGACCTTCGACAGCAGAATCACCCACAAACACCATCTCAAGATCATCAGGTCATCAGATACTCAGCTTCACATAGTAACACTATGGAAGTCAATGGGTACCGTCACCTGTTTGATTCTCAACATTCTTCAAAATCTCTTCGTTTGTTAACTGTAAGATAAACACAAAAAAAGATATTCTGAAGATTGATGGAAACGAAATAGTTGCCGGTACCCATTGACTTCCATAGTAATACTATGGAAGTCAATGGGTACCGTCACCTGTTTGATTCTCAACATTCTTCAAAATCTCTTCTTTTGTTAACTGTCAGATAAACACAAGAAACAATATTCTGAAGATTGATGGTAACTAAATAGTTGCCGGTACCCATTGACTTCCATAGTAATAATATGGAAGTCAATGGGTACCGTCACCTGTTTGATTCGCAACATTCTTCAAAATCTCTTCGTTTGTTAACTGTAAGATAAACACAAAAAAAGATATTCTGAAGATTGATGGAAACTAAATAGTTGCCGGTACCCATTGACTTCCATAGTAATACTATGGAAGTCAATGGGTACCGTCACCTGTTTGATTCGCAACATTCTTCAAAATCTCTTCTTTTGTTAACTGTGAGATAAACACAATTACATAGTAATACTATGGAAGTCAATGGGTACCGGCAACTATTTAGTTACCATCAATTTTTAGAATATCTTTTCTTGTGTTCAGCAGAAGAAAGAAAGTCTTACAGGTTTGGTGATGATGATCATTTTCATTTTTGAGTGGACTATCCATTTAATAACAACATTTGATGTGCTTTCTGTATTTTTTTAAAATCACTACCGGTTTGATTCTCAACATTCTTCAAAATCTCTTTTTTTGTTAATGCCGGTACCCATTGACTTCCATAGTAATAATATGGAAGTCAATGGGTACCGTCACCTGTTTGATTCTCAACATTCTTCAAAATCTCTTCGTTTGTTAACTGTAAGATAAACACAAAAAAAGATATTCTGAAGATGTTTGTTAACTGTAAGATAAACACAAAAAAAGATATTCTGAAGATTGATGGAAACTAAATAGTTGCCGGTACCCATTGACTTCCATAGTAATACTATGGAAGTCAATGGGTACCGTCACCTGTTTGATTCGCAACATTCTTCAAAATCTCTTCTTTTGTTAACTGTGAGATAAACACAATTACATAGTAATACTATGGAAGTCAATGGGTACCGGCAACTATTTAGTTACCATCAATTTTTAGAATATCTTTTCTTGTGTTCAGCAGAAGAAAGAAAGTCTTACAGGTTTGGTGATGATGATCATTTTCATTTTTGAGTGGACTATCCATTTAATAACAACATTTGATGTGCTTTCTGTATTTTTTTAAAATCACTATTTACATGCAAGCTGCAGTAATAATTTCTGCAGAAATGGACACATTTTTGTCTTGTTTTCCAGCACAAATATCTAAACGTTCTTAAATCTAGATACATTAATACATCAGATATTAAGAAACAAACCTTCAAAATTAGACATGAAGGCGCTTGAGATCGTGGTATTGTACCGTGTTTTCTGAGGATCTTCATACCTTTGTGGTCTTGATCTTATTCCCCGTAGCGCAGCTCCAGCCTTTGAGATCCGGCAGCACTTTACAGTCCTCTCCATCCAGACACGGATCCATCTGACACCACCACTTCTGCTGGACTATAGAGGCTGAACACACACACACACACACACACACACACACACAGATACACAAACACACACACACACACACACACAGACACAGACAGACACACACACACACACACACACACAGAGAGATACACAAACACACACACACACACACACACAGACACAGACAGACACACACACACACACACACACACAGAGAGATACACAAACACACACACACACACACACACAGACACAGACAGACACACACACACACACACACACACAGAGAGATACACAAACACACACACACACACACACACAGACACAGACAGACACACACACACACACACACACACAGAGAGATACACAAACACACACACACACACACACACAGACACAGACAGACACACACACACACACACACACACAGAGAGATACACAAACACACACACACACACACACACAGACACAGACAGACACACACACACACACACACACACAGAGAGATACACAAACACACACACACACACACACACAGACACAGACAGACACACACACACACACACACACACAGAGAGATACACAAACACACACACACACACACACACAGACACAGACAGACACACACACACACACACACACACAGAGAGATACACAAACACACACACACACACACACACAGACACAGACAGACACACACACACACACACACACACAGAGAGATACACAAACACACACACACACACACACACAGACACAGACAGACACACACACACACACACACACACAGAGAGATACACAAACACACACACACACACACACACAGACACAGACAGACACACACACACACACACACACACAGAGAGATACACAAACACACACACACACACACACACAGACACAGACAGACACACACACACACACACACACACAGAGAGATACACAAACACACACACACACACACACACAGACACAGACAGACACACACACACACACACACACACAGAGAGATACACAAACACACACACACACACACACACAGACACAGACAGACACACACACACACACACACACACAGAGAGATACACAAACACACACACACACACACACACAGACACAGACAGACACACACACACACACACACACACAGAGAGATACACAAACACACACACACACACACACACAGACACAGACAGACACACACACACACACACACACACAGAGAGATACACAAACACACACACACACACACACACAGACACAGACAGACACACACACACACACACACACACAGACACACACACACACACACACACACACACACACACGAACACAGACACACACACACACGAACACAGACACACACACACACACACACGCACACACATGTTGGCAATTAATGAACCACCGCAGCATGAATAATTTATCACTTTTTCATCTGAAAGTGAAGGTTCATGCAAGTAAAATTAATTTATTTTGACTGAAAACATTTCAGAGCAATATTTAAGTTGTTTTGTCATGAATAAATATGTATGTTTCATACATTTGGACAGATTTTGAGCAATTCAAAGGGAGACGACCTGCCGATGGGAGGATATTAGAGCCGCGCTTTCATTTGCAGAGAACGTCAGACTAAATGTGAGAGAATAGGCCAGACGGCCCTCAGGGGCCCGAACCCGTTCACTTCACACAGCCAAAGCATTACGGCTGGAACGATTAGAGGCCCTCAGAGCTTCGTTAACAGACAGACGTTAAACCCGGCGCTAATGACACGCTCTGACCATCAAACCAGGACCGCAGCAATTCATCCCAGAAGCTATTCATAAGAGCATTACTTGCTTGATTCATTGAATCAAATTATTTCCGGCATTTTACTGAAAATCTCATTATTTCTCATCTTGAGAATCGAAGGCCGTACCAAACGTCAAATCAGTGTTATTCGAGGTTCTATTATCGCTCCTGTTTATATTTTCATAAGTCTTAACTTTAATTTTAGTTTTGGAAAGTAATTATTATTAGTTTTATATGATCTACTTTTAGTTGTTTTAGTATTTCAACTTAAACTAAATGAAAATAACAAATGAAATAGCTGAAATGAATAACGTTTATTTTATTTATAAATGCTTTTAATGGATTTATTGTAACTATAATAACCTTGAGTAAAAAAATTATGTAGAGCATAAACATTCAGCTCGGACCAAACTAATCACACAAACATGTTCACTGATAAGTAGCAGCTCTAAATGTTTTAGAACTATCATTAATATTTTTATTTAATATATATTTATTTATTTTCGCGAATAGCGACTGCATTTAAAAGCCACTTTGACAGAATCCACTCCACATTCTGTAGGATTTACTTTTGAAATGTATTCATGTCTTTACAGTGCAGTCTGGATTTATTGGCAGCTCGTGGATTATAGCACTCTGAGTTTGTAGAATATATCTCAGAACGACTGTCTGGTGTGTTTTTAGTACCGTCTACGCAGGACGGAGCCGCTCTGGTGGTTCCTGCCACCTGTCCCGGGAAACACGAGCACTTGACGGTCAGCGAACGCTCCTCGATCTTGTTCTTATTGCAGCATCGGTGTAACGCCACCACCTCACACGTTCCCATCCGCACGTGATGCAGCACTGCAACACAACACAACCTTCACCACTTTCACTCAAATACACTGAAAACTAAACATATAGCATTTCTCGTTTGCACTC